TGGGTGGCTCTGACAGGACCAGCCCCGAGGAAAATAAAGCCATTGCCTGTGCTGGGCTGCGCTGCTTGGAGCTGGGGGAGTCCTGATTTCAGCATCTCTGGAAGTAGAATGAAGCTTCCGAAGAAGCGAATGGTTGCCACAGCACAGAGGAGAGCAGTGAAGTGCTCAGCCAAGGGGTGAGTGGACAATGGTTGTAACTTTTCTCCTGTTCAAGAACAGCCGACATAAGCAGAAGACGCAGTCACTTGCAAAACGTTGGAGGTGGGGTTGATGTCAGGGCAGTGAAGACAATCTGAGGTTACGCTAGGCCCCTGTGTGACAGCCCCTGCTGTAGCAGGGCTGGGCCCCTGGTGCTGGAGAGTTGGGGGCAGGTCACAGATGTCTATGGATTGGAGTAGTCTAAATTAGTGTTTTTCAAACTCCAGAGAGCACAGAATCATTTCAGGAGTTTCTGAGTCAGTGGGCCCGCAGTATGGTCCAGGAATGTGCATTTTAAACAAGCACTCAGGTGACCATGACACAGGTGGTCGAAACTCCAAGAAACACTTCTAAGGGATGGCAGCCACCTTGTGGGACAGCTGATCTAGTCTGGAGTTATCGTGCCTGTTCCTCCTCCTCCCCAACCAAAGGCATGTCTTTGTGTCATCACACATGTGATACATATGTTGTGGGATGTGTGGATGTATATTTTAAGTGGGGCAGCAGGAGGAAAAGGGGTGATTGTGAGGTCAAATTAGGCAGATTTAACCTGTGAGAACTATGCTTCCCATTGATAGTAATGATCACAGCAGGGATCCCTCAGGGAACACCTTCAAAATGTCCTTTTCCTTTCACCCCAGATGATTGGCTACCATGTGTTTCTGGAACCTCACCACTGAGAACCACTGGGTGAGGAGCACTGCCAGGAAGTTGCTGTCTGGGGTCCGGTTGGAGTGGTGTGGATTCTGTGGCTTGGTACAGGATGTGTCCTAGCCACACTTCTCTCAAGGCAGTCAGGGTCCGGGTCCTAGAAGGAGGTGAGCATAGTGTCGGGCTACTGCCGATGCTCAGCCAGCTGCAGATGATGTTGTCGTTTGAGCACTTGGTGGACTGTCAGGAATGAGCACCGTGCAGGTTGGTCCTTCCAGCTGAGAAGACATGATGCAGGTTTGGGCTCAGGGAGGGGCTGTGATATAGGGCAGTTCTGAGCTCCTGCTGGCTGCTTGTTTTGGTGTTTTAGCCCTTGTCTGTGTAAGAACGTGTGTAGGTTGGGTAGGGTTATGAGTTGATCCCGGGTCACCTTTGCCCTCACCTTCTTTCTGGTCCACTGGTAATCAACATGCTTCTCCACTAGCTTCAAGCCAGATAACCTCTCCATGGCTGGGAGCCACAAGAAACACCAGGTTCAGACTGTGGACAAGGAATAATGCCAGTTACCCCTGTCTGTTTGTGTGGATGGCTGTCTGGGTCTACATGGGGGATCATGGGTGGGTCCTCAGCCAAGTATATGTTCTTCCCATAAAGTTAGTCTCTTCCTGGGAGGTGTTCCCTGGGGTCACTTCCCATCTTTCCCAAAACTTGAGCCATTGTCTAGGTCTTCTACCCATGTCCTCTCCCTTGCTTTTCTTTCCTCTGAACCTTTTCACAATGTGTCCAAGCTATAACCCTGCAGACCTTGAGGCTGGGTCTACACCTTTCTTGTAACAAGAGCTTCCCTGGTATTGGGGCATGTCTTTCTTACTCAGTCCTCTAGAAATGTTATCCTCCTGGCTTACAACTTTCTCACTATTGCACTCCACCGGTGGTTTAAGCTCCCCACTGCAACCTAGAGAAATGCTCTCTGGTACCTGACTCTTCCTATAGCAAGGGTCCCAGCCCACTTTACCCCTGTGCTGCATGTAAGTTTTCCCCAAAGTTTCCTCCTGATTTCTCTTCTACATCCCCCTCCTCCCCAGCCAAAGGAATGGAAAGTCCTTTCTCCATGGATTAATGTTCAACATTTGGTCACCTTTCCTGTTACTAGTTACACTTCTTTGTGTATAAGCTTTTCCTAACTACTGTTGTGTGAAGAAAATTAGGATGTATTGGAGGGTGTTTCTACTTAGGGGAGTGTTGGTGATGGGTTTGGGACATGTCCCTTGTGCCTGTATGCACGTGTGGCATATACTTGCTGCATTTGTGTGTATCTCTGCAGCTCTCTCTACATAGTGCTGCTGCTGTCTCTGACCATGTGCTTGTTTCGTTGGTGAATTTATATACACAGAACTCTTGTGCTTTGGTTGTGACTATTACACAGGGGTGAATGACTGCTGAGCAAATGTCTCTTAAAACAGCTCAGGGTGGTGATGGTTTGGGGAACCAATGATCTGGTCTATAAGCCCTGAAAGTGGTGAAGGAACCAAAAAGGAATTAAGGAGGTAGGTGCTGTTGTGTTTGGAATAATTAGCTCTTTTGTTCTTGTGCTTCTGTAAGTATACTCAAAGGGCTAGAGGGTCGGGGAAAGAACAGGTGTCCCTTTGTGGTCCTATTGCAAACTCTGCCCCATTTGGCCAGTAAGGCTTGAAATTTTCTCATATTCTTCTATAGACTTTGGTTTTTGTTCCTACTTGAGAGTTGTGTACCTTAAGCCATCCCCACCTAGACTCTGATTTAGAGCAAAGATAGCCAAGATTATTGCCACCTCCTGCCTTCTGGTACTGACCTTGGCAGTAAGTAGGGTGACCAGAATTTGGATGTTTTAGGACCCACTATGTCAGAACCCTAGGCCTTTGCCCCAAGCTGTGGAAGACCAATCTTAGGAACCATTGATCTAGGCTCAGTGTAGGGCTGAGGAATGTTCTACAAAGTAGGTGTTGCTGTGTTAGGCGCTTGAGTTGGGTTTATGACCACAGGAGAAGCAACACGATTTACCCCAGGTAGAACTCGGAGTTCGCCTCTAGCATTCTGTGTAGGGCTGTGCTGACTCCGCCTCTGTCCGTTAGAACAGCTCACTGCGCATCTCGAGCAGGAGTGCGGAGGACTTCTGGTCTGAGAAAGGGGTTAGGGATGCTTCCAGCCACTGGGAACATGGAATGGTGTCCCTTCCAGAAATGTTGAGTGACCTGTCAGCAGAGGCAGCCAGGCATTTTGTCCCCCAACTCACAGGGTTCCTGTAAGGACTGTTGCTCCTGTCTGCTGTTATGTCCCTGGCCTCTCCAGGCCACGGTATCTGGGTGTAAAAGAATGTGTTGGAGGGTCAGGGGAGGGATTTCTGGCTATATTGACTCCTGGTGAAAATATTCATGGTTCTAACTAAAGCCAAGTTATGCTGGCTATAAATCCCTAAAATGCATGACACCACATCTCTAGTCATCCCATGCCAGGTGTTTGCCAAGGTTTTCTTTAAAATGTTTCTTCTATTCTTTTTGAAAAACTTTGTTTGTTTGTTTTCTACTTTTATACACAAGTCACATTCCCAGAAAGCAAAGAGTGAAAAAGCTTCTTTCCTCATACACATGCTGCTAAGAAAATAGTTTTATACACAGAATTTCAACAGGAGAGAGAAAAGGGCCAGGGAGGAAGGGAGGGTGCAGGAGAGGTGCTGAGGGCGAGGGACGGTGGCAGCAAGAGCAGGACAGGGCAGAGCAGCTCCTAGCCTCCTGTCTGCATTGTAATGGGATTTTTGGCATCATCAGAATGACTAATTCCACCCCACCCTGGTTTGCTAGAGTTGGAGTTTTTAATTTTAGAAATGAAGGGGACCGGGGGTGAGATTCACAGAACATATAGGAACTAGGGACAGCCATTTTCCTCCCCCTCTCCCATTCCGTCTTTTCTGCACATGAGCCACTGCTTTGGTATAACGTGTTCACAGAGTGGAGTGACAGGCTGGGAAAGCCAGATCCAGGGCTGGCTGACTAGGTGCACAGGAAACGGAGAATGGGAGTGGAAGCCTGACGTCTGGAAGCAGACTCCCTCGAGAGAGTTCTGAGGGGCAAGGGTAGTAGGAAAAACTGTCTGGAGGACTGGGAAGGTTGGGAGGCTTTTCTTTGCTCAAATAAAACACCTGCTTCTGCACCGTATTTCCCTTTAGCTGGGCTTTGGGGTTGCCACACTTACCACCTGATGCTTATAGAGATAATTCGGAGTTGGGGAGCCCTGTGTCAGTTCATTCCCCTTCTGTTGGTTCCCCTGGTGATATCACCCTATCAGAGATTCACCTTGTGCTTCTGTCCTCTCCTTGCCCACTCGTCTTCCCTGCAGTCATGTTCTGGCCCCCATGGGCCTCACCACAGGCCCTGGCTCCTTTTGGGGTATCCCCAGCAGCTGCTGCTTACTGGAGGGGCTGGGCTGAAAGGAACAGGCGCCAGGGCAGAGGACAAGGGGGAAGACCACAGATGGGGAACAAGGGTCCCCAAAGGCAAGGAGGTTTAAGAAGTGACCAAAAAATGTAAAGGGGCCCATAGGGAGGGAAATAGGGGTAGGGGTTTGTGAAAGAAGTGAGTGAGAAGAAACGGTGGTTTGCTACATTGAAAGGAAGCATTCAGAAACCAAACTGCCCTGTCCAGCCCTTTCCTCCTGGCACTGCCAAGATATTTTTGGCAGCACTGGCTTTCCTAACTCACAGCTGGGAATGAGGGGATGTTACCTCTCCTAATAAATACTCAGTCCTAGGGCAAGGATGGGTCTCCCAGTCTCTAGGCTTCTCCCCATTACCAGTCCCTCCTCCCCACCGCTGGGCATGACCAGGGCAAGGCTGAGTTGCTTTGCCCCAGGATCACCGTACCCATGCAAGGACTTAAAGCCATTTGATCTTCCAAAGATGAGGTGCTTTAAAGAAACCCTTAAAATGGGGGGAAGTGACACAAACAGGAAAAAACCACTTGTTTGATGGAAGAGTTTTCAGGGTTGGTTTTTTTTGTTTGTTTGTTTTTCCTGTATTTTCCAAGTTTGTTTCTCTTCAGTTCATTCCTCTGGTCTATCCATCTCTTGCTCCTGCGCACATGTGTGTGCTCTCTTTTTTGGTTGTGTGTGTGTTTCAGTTTTTTTTTAAGAACTTTGGATTTGCCATTGGTGGGCAGCGCCAGTCCCAGAGGCTGGACCCTGACGTGGCAGGGCTGGGACAAGGGGCAGGCCCACGGCTGCTGAGAGGATCTCTATGTTTAAAGCCTTTGAGAATAAGTTACTGCAGTTCCCAGGGTGCTGGGTGGGGGTTGGCAGAGGGGTTCCTGGTGGCAGCTTCCCCTGGAGTCCAGGCCACAGGGGCTCCCTGTCAGGCAAGGTTAGGAGGGAGGGATGTGGGGAGAGTGAGCTGGGAGCACTTCTCCCCCTGCCAACCTAAAGTTTGGTTAGTTTTCTGGGCTCCCTGCCCATCCCAGGCTCCAACCTTGGGAGCCAACTGGGTATTTGGAAAGTTTTTTGAGCAGTATGGTGCTCTAGACAAGGGGCAGGAAGGAGAAAGGGGATGACAGTTTATTTTCCTTCACCCTTGTTGTCTTGGGGTTTCTTTTTTCCTTTCATCTTCTTTTTTTCTTTTCTTTCTTTCATTCTTTTTTTTTTTTTTTTTTGGTGTTTTCTCAGTCAGTGGAACAGCATGGGAGAACATGTATTTGTGTGTGTGTGTGTTCATAGAAGTTGGGGTATGACTGGGAATTCATTGGGGAAAAAGGGTGTAGGAAGATCAAGGACAGAGTCTGTGTGTGGTGGGCAGGGCAGACATGAATGAATAATCAAGATAAGATGAGAGTGATCTATGAAGACATAGGGCAAGGAGTTGTGGAGAAGTGTGTTTGGGGAGGGGAGGAGGCAGGACTCTGCTGGAGGTGGGGTGTGTGAAGCCCACGGAGGGTGGGAATTGAAAGATTCCCAAAAGGTGGGCAGAGCTGAAGGTTGGGGTGAGGGATTTGAGCTCCCACCAAATACCCCTTGGGGTAAGAGAGGGAGCTCCAGGCCCTCCCCTCTCCCCAGATCTTGGTTTATCTGTTTATAAAGCTAGAAGTGTAGAGGTAGTAGTAGTTTTTGGGTTGGAGTCCGTGTGAGGTAATCTTGCTTCCTCTTTGGCAAAGGCCACAGCAGCTGGGGCAGCAGTGGCGGCGTTGGTGACAGTGATGGGTGGGCCCCCTGGGGGTGGGGCCGCCTTTCGCCTGTGGGCCGAGGAGCGCAGGTGGGAGGCCAGGGCTTCACGCCCACTCAGCAGCACCTCACATGCCAGGCAGTGGTAGGTGCAGATGGGCACCCGAAGTGGGGGGGGCACTGAACCCCCAGAGCCCCGCCCAAAGAAGCAGAAGGATCTCTGATGAGCAGCAGCTGGGGCCTCCCCTTCAAATGCCATCTTGCATTGGCGGCACAGGTAGCGGTGGGTCACATCCACGGTGGAGATGCCAGTGCTGCCTGTCAGCAGCTCGTCCGCCTCCCCGGCCTCCCCGTCCCCTGGAGTGGGCAGTTCAGGAGGCTTTGGTGGTGCTGTGGCTGTGGGCTCAAGGGGCTGGGATGGTGGCTGGAGGAGGGTGTTGGGGAGCAGTCCGATGAGGGTCTGAGGTATCACGGGGTTCATGGGAAATAGCCCCTTCTTCATGCCATAAAGCTGTTGGAAGTAGGCTCCCTGTAACTGGGGGCCAAAGACAGCCGGTGGTGTGGCCCCTCCTGCAGGGGGCAGTGGGAAGGGCAGGAACTGGCCTCCCAACAGGGCTGGGACAGTGGCCTTCAATGCTTTGAGGTTCTTGAGGGCATCAGTGGAGGAGTTGGTGGGGGCTGCAGTTGGTTTTCGCTCACCAGAGACCTTGTCCCCAGAGGGCTCAGGAGGCAGGCCTGGGGCAGGGTCAGCGGGGCCTGCTGTGGAGGTGATGACTTGGTCGGGCACAGGTCTCTGAGGTAAGGAGCAGCCTGGGCCAGCAGACTGGACCACTGTGGAAGCAGGCAGGACCGAAGTGGCGAGGCCAAGGAGGCCTGAGGAGGCCGCAGGGCCTAGGAAGATGAAAGGAGTGATGAAGGATTAGCCACTTCCTGGCCCCTCATCCTTCCTGCTATAGGCCACCTCCAGCCTCCCTCACCCATTCCCACCACTAGCTTCCATGCTCCCTTTCCTCCCTTCTTTTCCCCAAGAGCCTGAAACAAAGGAAGGCCACAGGAGACTGGAGATGGGAAGAGTCAAGAAGGAAAAGGAAGGGCATGATATTAGAGGAAAATGCTCTCTGAATTCCAACTCCCACCAAACTTTCACTCACCTGAATTGAAAGGAGCTAAGCTGCCCAATGGGGGCTGGGCCAGAGCTGGGCTGGACAAAAGAACTGGGGCCAAGCGAGGCAAGGCTGGGGCAGCCCCAAGGGGCATAGAAGCAGGTGTGGTAGTAGGTGGGGCCTTGGGGGCCGGGGATGCCTCAGGTGCTGGGGCCAAGTCGTAGCACTTGCTTTCACTCTTCAGCTGGGCTCGGACCGCCTCCTTGAGCTTGGCCAGGTGCTGGCGGGAAAAGAGATGGCCGCGGCAGGAGACGTAGAAATCATACTTGACATCACAGTAGGGACAGTCAGTGCGCTGGGCTCCCAAGGGGCCCTCACTGCTGCCCCCAGCCCCACCAACTGCTGCCCCCTGCAGTTTGGCCTTCTTTTCCTTGGCACGAGCATTCTGGAACCAGACCTGGATGACTCTCTTGGGCAGCCCAATCTCCTCCCCCAGCACCTCGCACTCCTGCATGGTGGGGGTGCGGTAGGCTTCATAGCAGGCTTTCATGATCTTCAGCTGCAGGCTGCTCATCTGGGTCCTGTAGCGTCGCTGCCCCATTCCATCTGGAACCCCGGCCCCACCTCCTGGTCCCCCATTGGTCCCTCCAGCCCCAGGGGACTCTGGTTCAGCCAGGCTGGAAGCAGAAGAATCGCTTAGATCCCCTGCAGATGGACTGCAAGCCTCACTCTCAGGAGAAACTTTCACAGGTTCTTCTGGGCCCTCATCCTCACTGGGGGGAGGGGGAGGTGGGAGAGGGAGAGGTGACTCTGGTGTTGGGGTGGTGACCTCTTTCCCAGGAGGCAGGAATGGCAGGGGCCCTGCAGTAGGGGTGACTGTGGGGTAGGGAAAAGCAGGTGCTTCTCTCTTTGGGGCCTCCCTCCCAGGCCCATCATCCACCTTGCCCAGCAAGAGGCTGAACTTGGGGAAGGGTGCAGGGGTGGGTGTGACAGGGGGCTTGACTGCTGGATTGGGCGCTCCCCCAGGGGTGCTTCGAAACTGGCCTTTCCTCTCTCGGGCCCTGGTATTCTGGAACCAGACCTGCACCACTCGCTTTTTGAGCCCCACCTCCTCGGAGATGCAGTCGAGCATCTTGCGCGTCGGGTTGGAGTCCTGCATGTACCAGCGGTACAGGATCTCCAGCTGCTCGGGCAGGATGGTGGTGCGCAGGCGCTTGTCCCTGGGGGGCTCACCCTCCCCTCCACCCCCTGCTTCACTGCCTGTGGGGGACAGGCTGCCATCCTCGTGCTTCCGTTTGAGGGGTGGCCCTGGCACTGGTGGAGTGCCTGCCACCAGCGGGTTTCGCTCTCCAAACACCAGCAAGGGCAGATCTAGGAGGTGGGGGGCAGCACTGGGCTGCACAGATGGCAGGAAATGTAGTCGGCGGTGACTGGTCAGGAGGTCCTGGCTGGGGAAAGATATGGCACACTGGTCACAGGTGTGGACTGGGGAAGGTGAGGGAGGAGCCCTCCCTTCGGGCTCTCTACCCTCTTGCTTTGTTGCTTCTGCTAGGCTCAGCTCTTCCCTGTCTGGAGGTTCTGGTGATGGGCCCTCGGGCTCTTTGGGGGGTTCCAGGCCTTGTTCCTCCTCTGCGTCTTCCTCCTCTACTTCATCCTCCTCTTCCCCTCTCTCTGCCTCTTCCTCTTCTTCTTCTGGGGGCTGGTCATCATAGCATTTCTTAAGGTGTCGCACCAACTCAAAAACACAGGAGAAGGTGGTGTGGCAGCGCCTGCAGCCAGAGACTCCCCCAGTGCCCCCTGCGGTTGGCGCAGGTCCCCCCTCACTGGCATTTTTGCGTGCTTTCTGGCGGGCATTCTGGAACCACACCACCACCACACGGCTAGCCAGGCCCAAGAGACTTGCGAGTCGCTCCACCTCTCCATCCTTGGGGTAGGCACTGGTCTCAAAGAAAGACTGCAGGGCTTGGGTCTGGAACTCTGTGAACTTGGTTCTGGAGAAGCGGCGGCCTGCTGGCACTAGGGGAGGAAGATTCCCTCTGGGGCTTTCTTCCTCCTCTGGGGGCCAGTGTCCTCCTGTCCGGCTTCGCTCCTCAGGAGGCTGAGCCCCCCCTGTCTCAGGCTCTGGCACCAGGAAAGGTGGACCCAGTTGGGGAGCAGGTGAGTCCAGAGACCCATCAGGAGGTTTAGGGGGCTCTGCAGGGGGTGGGTATAGGCTATCATAGCTCTTTCGAAACTGAGCAGCATAACGGCTCAGGGCCTCAAAGGGCAGAAAGCGACGGTGGACATGCTCCTCGTGTGTCTTGAGGATGAGCATATTAGAGAAGAGTTTCCCACAGGCCCTGCAGGCCAGCTTATCCCTGCCCCCAAGGGCCTCTGGTGGGGGTGGGGTCGGAGGAGGGGGCACAGCCTGCTTCCCTTCGTTGTACTGGATCACCAGCTCAAAACCAAAATTTTCTAGAAGGGCTTTGGCTGCGGTACGGGCTGCCTCGTTGGGTGTTGGTTGGGGAGGTGAGGCTGTCCCTGCCTCAGTTCCCTCTTCAGCCATGGGGGGCCGCTCCCATTCCTGCTCAGCCAGCTCAGCCTTTTGGGGTGGAGGTTGGGGAGGAGGGGTGGCAGCTGGCAGGGACAGTAGGGGCGCAGGCCCAGCCAATGCCAGCTTAGGCCCAACCTTGAGGTCATGGAGGTAGAAGGGCAGGAGCAGCTGCTGCTGCTGGAGCTTAAACAGTGATTCGGGCACCAAAGGGAAAGGGGGCAGGACTGGTGGGCTGAAGAGAGGGGCTGGGAACCGGTGCAGGTCCAAGGGAGGGGGAGGAGGGGACAGGAAGGGCAATCCAGACATGAAGCCACTGGGGTCGGGGCCTTTCTTCTCAGTGCCTGCCTCCCCCTCAGTCTCGCCTTCTTTGGACTCTTCTTGGCCACGCTCTGGCCCCTCAGCCTTGGCATCAATCTTGGCGCCCCGTGATCGAGTCTGGTGCAGAACTGAGCGCATGTGGATCTCCAGGGTGGAGCTCTGGTTGTAAGAGACTCGGCAGACTGTGCACTTAAAGGGCTTGTCTGCAGCAGCAGCTGTGGCAGGCGCTGTGCCCGCCTCTCCCCGGGCAGGGCCAGAGGGGTCAATGGCAGCCTTCTTCATCTTGTGCAGGTGGGAGACAGAGTTATAATGGACTAGGAGGATATTCTTCTGTGTGAAGGACTCTTTACACACAGTGCACTTATAGGGCCGGGCAGGGTCTAGAAACTTGTCCAGGGCAAAGTTGGTGGTCTTCCGGTAGGTCAAAGGGTGGCGAGAGTCAGCTGGAGCTGGTTCTGCAGGGCGGGGCTCTCCAGCAGTCCCCTCTTCTTCCTCAGCCATAGGGGGAGGCAGAACCATTTCTTCAGCCTGGGCATCAGGTCTTGGGGCTGGAGAGGGGGCTGGAGAGGGGGGTTGGTCAGGGCTTCCTGTGGGCTTGTCTGGGGCCTCAGCTGAGGGTAGGGGAGGCTCAGGAAGAGGATCAGGACTCGCTTCTGGGGTCAGGTGAGGGCCTTCTGGGGAAGAGAAGGGGTTGCAATGAGAAGGGAACTTTAAGTCAGACCCACCCAATCAATACCTAGGGCAACTGATCCTTGCCTCAGTTGCCTTCAGGCCTTCTTGGTCTGTGGAGCCCAGGTCCCCTTTCCTGCCACCTTGGTCCTTACCTGCTGCCTGATCTCTGCTGAGTGCAGGCTCTGGCCCGGGAGCCAGGGGCTCTGGGCCATCCTCCAGAGGGCTTAGAGAGGGCCCAGGCAGCACTTTGGTCATAAAGGTCATCTCTACAGTTGTGGCCTGTAATGGAAGAAATCCTAGTGACTTTCCTCCCGCTCTCTGGCTACTCCTGTGCCTGTGCCCAGCCCCTTTTCACAGCTCCCAAGCCTCTTCTCTGGACAAACCTCCCACCTAACGTCTGCTTTTCCCACAGAGGAGAGGGCCTGGGCTGCACCTCTCCTGCCTGGCAGCCCAGGCCTGCTGTTGAATAGTTCTTCTCAGGACCTAGTGGAAGTGAAGGAAATGCTTGACTCTTACAGGCGAATAGAGGCAGCTAGATAAGCCTACTCTGAGGTTCCCTCCAACTCTAACATCCACCTTCAAATCTGTGAAATGCTGTTTCCTTCACCAACACCCCACCACCAACACCACTCCAACATGTACACGCTGCCCAGAGCCCTGCCTCTGCTTCTCCTCTTGCCCTTCCTGCCCGGCCCTGACAGGGCCCCAGGGCTGGATCCTCACCCAGCCTGTACTCACCACAAGCAGCAGCTTCTCAACACACTCAGGCACCACGTTGTGAAGGTGACTTAGGTGGAAGTGCAGGGCAGGCCGGCCCACCAGCTGCTCCTGGCACAGTGGGCATCTGTACTTGGGCTGCACTGCATGCTGGGACAGTGCATGAGCCCTCACCTGCTCAGACTCTGGGCTCAGGAAGCTGCAGTATGGACAGCAGTATACCTGAGGGGCACATGGCAGTGGAGAGGGTGTCAGGGATGGGGGGACCTACCATCACTCAGCCTGTGGCTCCTGGACACAGCCAGTCCCCCACTCATTCCCAATAAAGGAGGAGAGAGTCCAGGAGGAAGGCTTCACTGCAGACCCAGCCAGACCTAAAAGCTGGGCCCTCCCTCGTTTTCCATGGACTGGGACAAAGGCCTGAGCTAGGCCACCACCTTGCCTTCTTTCTTTGTCTGTCCCTCTCCCTCCATCCTGGCCTCTCTGTCTCTGCTGCCCTGCTCAGTTCTCCAGCTGACAGGGTGGACCTATACCTTCCTCCCTGGGATTTAGTTTTCTTTTCTCAACCATCTCACACTGCCTGTATCTTCTCCCTGAGACGGCTCCCCTTCCCTCCAGCACTTCCTGGACCCATAGTCTCCCTTGTCCTAACACACTGTGGCTCTCAGGGTCTCTGAACTAAATGTCTCAGGTAGGGTCCTCCCTACCTGACTCTCTGCTCTATCTGCTCAGAAGCCAGCTCATTCTCCCTCAGAGGTCAGCAGTTCCCACTTTCTTCCTTCTTGTCTTTTTCTTCCCTTCTTAATGCCAACCCTCTCCATAGCTCCCCTAGTGGCTCAGGAAATTCTAGCCCAGCGCATTCCCACCCACACCTCTGAAGGGTGGGACTGGGGCACCTGGGGTGGGGACTTGGAGGCCCCTGTCTCTGCCTTAGTCTCCTGACTGCCTGACCTCCAGCCTGCATTTACCTCCCTGGCTCACTTCCTTTCCTGCCCCCACACCCCCGTGGGCCAGGAGGGGGACCGCTCCTCTGAATGCACCTAGGCCAAGGAGCAGACATCGAGTGGGTCTGTTGAGGGACTAGGAGTTAGGAAGAGGGGAAGCTGAGGACATAAGCCATTATTACTGCAGCACGTTGCAGGAAGGCAGTCATGATAAATACTGCGTACTGCAGTTCCCGTTTGGAGAGCTGTGAGCACAGGATGGCACCTCAAGACCAAAGGCTGGGAGTTCCCTCAAAATCAACATTTTCAGGCCCCAGAGCTAAACCACTCCTGGGCCTGCCTAGGTCAGGCAGAGGCTTGGGTCCTGGAGACTTAGAGATTTGCAGAGCTTGCTGACTGGGTGCATCATGTGGGTTGGTGCCTCCACCCTCATGGAGGAGGTGCCAGGACACTTCCGTACAGGCTCAGGGCTTTCTGTAGGAGATGAACATCCATAGCTCGTCTTTCTGCTCATAACAGAAATAAAGAGCTGGGCAGTAGCTAGTTTTTTGCTTTTGCCTTTCTTCATTTCTTCACTTCTTTCCTCCTCTCTTCCCTCCACCCATCTCCAGTCTTTCCTACTCTCAGTACAGTTTCTCTCTTCACCTTTCCCTCAAATTCCTGCCCTCCCTCCCTCTGTGGCCATTCCTGGGGGCCAGCGCTGCCCCCTGTTGGTGCTGAACATCCATAACTGGGCCCAGGTGGAATTTCTTAAAGGTTGTATTCTAAGTAAAATAAGTCATAAGCGCAACAAAATTAGGTCTACCTTTGGTCTGAAATCTCTGTAAAGCTCTGCTGATTAGAATTTCAGCCTTTAGAGCATGAGCAGATCTCAGTAAAACTAGACCCCCTCAGCCCTTCCCAGTTACCCCAGTTCTGACCGTGGTCTGGTTGGCACTGTCTCCAGGAGGACCGGTCTTGTTCTCTGCCTCTTCAGAAGCTGAAGATGAAAGGAGAGGAGATTAATAGACTCTACAGACCCTCCTCTTCCTTTCACAGACCCCAGCTCTTAAGATGACCTGATTTGTAGAGCACAGCTTCCAGGGTGGAGGTGGGCTCTGGGGAGAGGGAGAAAGGGCAACACAGTGCAGAGCTATACCAGGAACAGTGAGGGGTCTGGCTCAGCGGGCTGACCCCAGGTTAGCGGGATGGGTCAGGTTTGGGTCCTCGCAGAGAACAGAAGCACCCAGCCTTCCGTAGCTCTACCATCCTTCCCTGATGTGTCCTTTCTTTTAATCACTTTTAATCCAGGCCTTGCTGGGTGTCTGGACTACTGCAGGGTCCTATAAGCATCTCAGAATGTATAGGATTAGGGATGGGGAGGGCAAGGAATGGAGGGAAATGGACCAGATGAGCAACTCACCCAACTGTTCTGTCTTGTTCTGGGCCTCTTTCTCAGGGGTGGGTAGCTCAGCTAAGGGGGCAACAGGAGCCTTCCCTGTGTAGAATGAGAGGAGAGTCAGCTTACAAGGATGAAGCATCAGGAAAGGCAGGAGAGAAAGCAGGACAAGCAGCCAGGCAGTGAGGGAGAAAGTGGATGGATGCATCAATAGGCAGAGGACGACAAAAAGAAATACAGAGGATGATGCGGGGACTGGGGGGAGAATTCAGTGTTAGAACTGAGAGGGCCTAAGAAATCATCTTTGGGAGTCCAGCCTCTGTCACTTGAAGATGAGCAAACAAATCCAGTGGTAGGTGACAGGAACAGGACCAAACTCGGCTCCTTGTCTTGGAAGTGAGAAGCCCAGAAATGAGGGAGCTGAAGAAGGAAGGTGAGGTTGAAAGGAAGCAGTTGTGGTGAGCGGGAGGCGGCAGGTCTAACTGGGAGAGGAGATTACCACTCAAGGAAGAATTGACAGATGTGTAGGAATTTATTTTCGGTGGTGGCCTAATTAAAGTGTTAAAGTTCTTTAACTCCATTCAGCCTAGCGCCAGGATCGTTAGCTATTGATCTGGGCCCCTCCGGCACTTAACTCCAGCCAGCATATTGGCAATTCAATTAGAACCAGTCAATGCTGCCTGTTCCTGGTTCCTGCTGCCCCTGCCCTCACCCTCGCCCACCACTGGCCTCTATGAAGCCCGGACGCTGTGCCCACCTCTGACAGCCGCTTCCGGGCCCTTCTCCTACACCCTCTGGATCAGTGGCACCTGGTGGGCCCTTGTCAGTTTCTGCAGGTACAACTGAGCTGCCTAAGGGGAACCCCCAGCCCAGCCTTCAGGCTGACGACCTCCTAGGAAACGGGAGAAGGCTGGGGAGCTTGTGAAGGGCTCCCCACCTATGCTGTCTTCAGACCATGCCCTAGCTCCCATCAGTCTCTGGCATGTCATAGCCCACTCTTTTCTGTCTTTCTGATTCTTCGTCCTTCCAAACCAGCTCCTGCCCACCCCCCACACCCAGCATTGCTAGGACACTGGTCACTACTTGGAATCACTGAGTGACTCCTCATCTCTCTTCCTGTTCTCTAGTCTCCACCCAGCAAAGTCCCTGCCCTTCTCTGCCTTCTCCCTCCAACAGCTTCTTGTTCCCTCCTTCACTCGGCAGCACCACTGCTCCTGAAATCTGGTTTTGTCACCCCTTCCAGCCCCTTTCCACCTGAATGCCCAGACCCATTCCTCCTTCCTTGTATCACTTTCTTGTCAGCTGCCCTACCTACTGGCCCTTCCTCTCCAGTCCCCTTTCTCACCTGGAGTCCGGAGTGGCCCATGGCTGAAGCTCAGGATGCTCTGAAGAGCAGAGAGCCCTTCCTCGGCTGCCGGGCCACTCTGCAGCAGCTGCAGGCGCCGCTGGGCCTGGGCATCTCGGTGGGCCGGGGCCCGAAGGTGCTGCAACACGGCCAGGCGGGAGGGTGTCTCCCAGGCACACAGCAGGCAGCGGAACAGCCCCAGCTCCGCCCCCGCTGCTGCCCCCTCCATCTCCAGCAGAAACTGGAAAAATGGAAAGAAGTGGCTCAGGCAAGAACAGATACCTCCAGATCTCGGGGGACTCCTTTGCCTTCCCCAGGGGAGCCTGACCAGCCGCACCCTCTCCCCTTCCAGCCCTTCCACCCTCTTGAGCGCCCCTATTCCTTTCCTTCCTAAGGCCGTCTGAGTATCACTGCTTTTTCTCCCCGATCTCCTCTTTCTCCCACCCATCCGGGACTCTCTCGTAGTTTGTGAATGGAATCTGGTTCTGTTCGCAAACTTCTGAGAAGACGGACTGAGCGGAGGCAGATTCCTTCCTCCAGCCACACACCAGAAAAGCTGAATAAAGCATTCGATTCGCTTTGTTGGAGTCCACCATCCCGGTCTTTCTCCATCTCTTTTTTCTAAACAGTGTATTACCTGGTGCATCCGGGTCTGTTTTGCCAGTTCTGCTTCCCTGGGTTTTCCCATCACTTTCCCATTCTGCATATCCATCCCCATCTCCTTCCCACTCCCCAGAGGCTGTCTGCTCTGCCCTTCACCCCAGGCCCCTGCCCCTCTCACCTTATAGACCTGGCTGTTCTCCTCGTGGGCAGCCCCCTGGGCATGCAGCTGCATCTTCTCCTTGCTGTTGGACTCAAAGTCACAGATGTTGCAGCGCAGATGCAGGGGGGGCACAGACCCATAAGGAGCCCCATCTCCCAGGGGCATGGGGGAGGGAGTGCCCGTGGCCCCACCGCCCTCCCTCAGGTGGGCTGCCAGCTGGTACTTCTGAGCGTGTTTGTCAGTCTTGAGGTGGAGCTGGAAGTTGGCCTTGAGCTGGGTGCCATAGCAGCAGAGCTTGCAGCGGTGGGTGTCACCGGCCACCTCCTTCCACTCGGCCTCTGGGAGACTGCGGCCCATGCTGCAGTGGTAGAGCAGGAGCTCCAGGCTGTCCGTGCTGAAGGCCTGGCACACGAGGCAGCGGAACACCTTCAGAGACTGGCCGTCATCTGGGGGCGGCGAGGTGGGCAGGCCATCCGACAGGGAGCCCAGGAGCTGACTTTGAGGCAGGTGAGCGTCCGGGGAGAGGCTGCCAGGGGCTAAGGGACAAACAGATTAGTGGCTCAAGGAAGGAGTGGAGCAGGGTAAATGAGGATACTGCTGAGGGCATTGGGGTTACCTAAGTGGGGGGCTGGCCCTCGGGAGAGGGCAGGTAATCCAGTTTGAACCTGGAAAGGTTAAGAGGAGCAGAGCCCAGGGAGCTTACCAGGTGTAGGGAACTTTCGGGCAGGTGCCCCGAGGTGGTGGAAGCCATTGAGAAGCAGCTGGGTTTCCAAGGGCTTGTCTGGCCTCAGCGCAGGGCCAGGCAAGGGAGTCTGGGGCTGCCCTAGGGCCTGCGGTCCGAAGTACTGGAAGAGGTCAGGGGGAGTGGCGGGGGCAGCCCCAGCTGGGGGCGGAGGGCCTGGCCCCACCAGCCCAGGTGGCAGGCCCAGCGGCAGCCCCTGGTGGAGCATGAGGACATTCTGCATGTGCTTCTCAGAGGTCATGTGGATCCGCAAGTTGCGAGAGATGTTGGTCTCATAGCTGCACACCTTGCACTGCCAGGACGATTTGGTCTTGGGCTCCTTGTCCCCTGCAGAGGGTGGGAGCGATGCCTCTGGGGGACTTCCCTGCCCACCAGGCCCTGCCTGGAAGCCCTGCAGGTTGGCCAGGTGCTTGTCAGACTGCATGTGGATGCTGAGGTTGCCCTTGGTGGTGGTGGAGTAGTTGCAGATGTCGCAGCGGTAGGGCTTGTAGCCACAGTTGTAGCTCTCTCCACGAGCAAGGCGGGGGTGGGCCCCCCCAGCGCTGCAGTAGCTGCAGTGACTGTTGCTCTCGGGGTGCTTCTCCCGCATGTGCACATCCAGGGTCTGCTGGTACTTGTAGTGCCAGTTGCACTTGGGACACTTGAGCGTCTTGCAGGAGTTGCGCGAGTGTAGCAGAGACATGTGGCTGGACAGGCTGAGGCCCTGGAAGGCTGCAGGCGCTGGAGTGTAGTCGTCAGCTAGGCGGTAGGGCTGGGGTGGGTCACTGGGGTCTTCGAGAGAGCCCACTGGAACAGGGAGAGTGCCCCCCTCCTTGGAGGTGGGTGAGCTTTGGTTGAGTGGGGGGCAGAGCCCTCCATCCTCTTCTTGCCCCTCAGGGAACCAATCTGGCCCTGCCTTGCCTGCTGCCGTTGGTGATTCTTTGGCTTGGGTTTGGCTGGGGTCCCATGTCGCTGGGGTTGTGGAAGGGGAGGGTGGGCTGAGGGCCATGACTTCTTCTGTGTGCAGAACAAGAGCCTGGGTTTCTGCCTCAGAGGGGCCATCCTCGGTCTGGGCTACATTTGCCGCCTCCAGGTTCACTGTGCTGCTGTTGTCAAGGGGTATTTCTGAAGGTGGGCAAGCAGGTGGTTTTGGTTCCAGAAAGCTTAGGAGGGCCATGCAGCCCTCGTCCCCCTCCTGGAGCACAGCTGGGTTGCCCAGCAGGCCCTGGTGTTGAGCAGGGGTCAACTTTACACCATGAGACTGTGTATGACCCACAAAGGCCTGGGGCCGGCTGAAACCCAGGCGGCACAGGAGGCAGAGCCAGAACAGTGCCCTCTGGTCTCCCCCCCTGCTCCCGATGGGGCCATCTTTGGGATCTCTGGGTGGGTTTGGTGCCAGCTGGTAGCTCCAGAAGGCTCCATCCCTTCCCTCACAGGCGGCCGGAGATGGCGCTGAGGTATCATGGGACAGAATTTGGTCAGAAGAGCTAAAGCCTTGGATTGAGTCAAAGCCATGTTGGATGTGAAGGGCAGTGAGGTGTGCAGGGGGCGGGTGGGGTAGGCTGGGCTCTTCCTTGATGCCCGCCGCGCCCCAGGGGAAGCCCTTTGGTAACAACAGTTCACTGCCACCTGGCAGGGACAGCTTGGCCACGAGGCAGGCCTCGCCGCCAGCTGTGAAGAATAAATGGTTGCTGAGGTCCACAGGAGGGAGCCTTCCTCCTTCCTCCTCCTGCTCCTTGTCCTCTTCCACCCCCAAGTCCTTTGGTGGGAAGCCAGCACAGCCAGGCTCTTCTTGGGGCTCCCCAATCTCCTTTGGTGGGACAAGGCTAAAGCCCGACTCCAGGGGCTGTCCCCCTGGTTCTGAGGGCCTCATGCTCTCAGAGGTGGAGGGGGCAGCAGGGGGATCTTTGGTGACAAGATCAGGGGGGGTGCCTGGGAAGGAGGTGTGCGGAGGCGGGGGCGGGGCATTGTGCCCAGGGGGTGGGGTGGTGTCAGCAGCCGAGGATGAGCTAAGGGTGGCCATGGCAGACGGAGCAGTGCTGGGTGTTCATTTCAGCGCGACAGCCAGTACCCTGTAAGGGAAACACAGGGGGAGCCGGGTTGTCAGGTAGCAGGGGAGACAGTGGGCAGCGGACTCTCCTGCTACTCCAGCCCCACCCTCTACCCTGAGCCCCAGACTCAGGCACCCATTTGCCACACTGAAGCTTCACTTAGTGCCTGACAGCCTTCAAACGTAACATGTCTGGCCCTGGCCGGTTTGGCTCAGGGGTTAGAGCGTCGTCCTGCAGTCCAGAGAGACCAGGGTTCGGCCCTCCTGGCCCAGCCATTCTCATCTCTCTCCTGAGCTGAGGCAGTGGGTTCCACCTTGGCCTCCGCTGTCTCCACTGCCCCTCCAATCCACTTTCCTCTCACCCAGCATCCAGAATGTGCTTTCATTTAATTCTCAATTATGAAAAATGTCAAACATAAAAGTAGGCCAAAGGAATACCTCTGTCCTCATCACCCAGCATCAACAGTCACCAACTCATGGCCAGTCTTGTTTTATCTATGTCCTCACCCACTTCCCCTTTTTCCTACATTGTTTAAAAGCAAATTTCAGGCATCATAAAGAATCATCTTTTAACATGTAAATCATACTATATTCTGCTTAAAACCCATCAATGATTTCTCACTGCTCTGTGAGTAAAATCCAAACTCCTTTCCCTGATTTGCAAAAGGGTCTGTCTGATCTGCTGCCTGCTTGCCTGTTCCTCACGCTGCTGCCTGGCTGGCCAGCTCTAGCCAACTAGCCCTGTTTCTCAGACACACCAAGCTCATTCCTACCTTAGGGACTTGCCCAAGCTGTTTACTCTGCCTGTAATGCTCTTCCTCCAGACCTCTGCCTGGTGGCTCCTTGTCATTCAAGCCTCTGCTTAAATATAGCCCCTTCCAAGGGGCCTTGGCTCTCTACAGCAGCTACACTCCACCCCGGGCGGGGGTCACTTCCTTAGGGATTTAATACTACCTGATATCTCCTGCTTTCTCTCTCCTAGAAGGGAAGTTGCATGAGGGAGGGACTGTCTGCTTTATTTGTTGCTCTAGCTAGCACTAGAAAGATGCCTACCTGCTAGTCAGTATATCTGCTGAATGAATGAGCTCTGGGGAAGACCCTCAGATTTTCCAAGTCCTCAAGAGGTAATTTCCCTAAGTCAAGGTCCTCTTGCCAGAGAGGTTACAGTGAAATTTCCATGAGTCTGTAAACACCTTCCCGACTCATCTCTGGTCACAAGCATGTGGAATTGGTAAGAGCTTCCCTGGCCAGTTGAAAGACAACAGGTTTTTTTTTTTTTTTTTTATCCTTACCCGAGGACATTTTTTGTTCAGGTAGAGTGGGAGGGAGAGAGAGGAAGAGAGAGAGAGAGAGAGAGAAACATCGATGTGAAAGGGACACATTGAGTGGCTGCCACCCGCACGACCCATCAGGGCCGGGGACAAACTGCAACCGAGGTACATGCCCTTAGCGGGAACCGAACCCGGGTCTCTCGGGACCGCAGGCTGATGCTCTAACCGCTGAGCCAAACCAGCCAGGGCGAAAGACAACAGCTTTTATATGATTAGCCTCCTCCTCCCCCACAAAGAGATAAAAGATAATAAATAATAGTAATAATATTACTAATAGCTGTAGCTATTAAGGTACGTACGTATACTATGGTTGGTCCTGGCACTGTGCTAAATGCTTTACATCATCATTTACTCTCACAACAACCTTCTTTCACACAAGGCAGCCAAGAACCAGAGAGGTTGAGTGAGGTGCTGATGGTCGCTCAGCTCCAAGGTGGTGAAACTAGAAAAGGACTGGCAAGGCAGAGCAGTGTCCCAAAGCTATGGCCTGGGCTCGTCCATCCAGACCGTCCCTCAGACACAGTACAGGCAATGGGCCTCCAAAGGTCTAGCCATCAGGATCCCTGGGCTCCCTCTAGCTGACTAGAAGCACCAAGCCTCAACATGCTGCTCCCAACCTTTTCATCTTGACATGCCCCCCCACCCCAAACTCGCCAGTTCCCCATGCCTCACCATTCTATACTCCTCCCAGTGTCCCGAGTGGCCTACGACCTCTCCAGTTCTTAACATCAGCAGATCTCTACATTAAACCGTTAGCGCTCGGGCCAGAGTGTTTCAAGGAAGGGATGAGGTGTATGGCCTCTTCTTCCCTGGGCCACCTCTAACCCTTGCCTCAAGATTCCTGGATTTGGAATGGGTCCTTGGTCTGGCCCCACCTGGCCGCAGGCCCTATTCCCGATTCTCTCTCCCCTCCTGGGAGACTAGCCAGGCGTGAAGTGGAAGCCATTAAGGAGCTCCAAGTGGGGCTGGATCAGCATGCTAATGAAAATGCAAATCTGCACCTGGGCAGGGGGTGGAGGAATTAGGGGGTGTGGGGGGGAGGCTTGAGAACCAAAAAGGAAGTGAAGGAATTAGATGGATGGGAGTCCATCCTAAACGACCAGGGAGAAGCCCTGAAGTGGGACAAGGGATTCCCCCTACGCAATCCCGGGGTGGGATAAGTGTGTGAGAATCTGAGATTCTACCGTCCCCTACCCCCATAGCAGGGCCCAGGGCCCATTCACTCACTGCCCCACCTGATGGGAAGAACTGAGGCCAAGCAGGAGGGGCCTCTCCAGGGCCCTGTCACTGAGGGCTGGACCCGGTGGTGCTGTCTTTCCTGGGCCCACCCTGCCTGTATCACATCGATCGGCTCCTTCTCTCTGGCCCCTGACTTACAACTCTAGATCCAACTTCAGAGGACAGTGAGGAAGATCTAAGCCCCACATCCTCTCTCCAAAGCTGCTACTTCCCAAAACAAGGGGGAAAGCCAGCTGATTTGTAGCTAGAAGCCCTAGGAGCTGAGCTTCGGGCGGGCCTGTGTGTGAGACCCAGATTGCCGAGGGTAGGTCGGCAGCTATTTAAACTTGCAAATCTCTTCCCCGCCTCCCAACCTGCCCCTCCTCCTCCTCAGCAAAGAATTTCAATTGCAAATTTATCTCTGCCTCAGTGCACCCCCCAACTCCCCCTTCCCCTCCCTTCTCTGTGCTTCTCCCATCACCCACTATTTATTGCAAACCTTTAACTGCAGCAATTCTTTTTTTCATTTTTTCCCTCCATTTCCCTCCTCCTCATTCTTTTCTTCCTCCCCTCTCTGAATCTCATGTCCCTTTCTTTGCCCTTCCTACCTTGAACTCAGTTTTCATCTTTCTGGAGATGATGCAGAACCAGATGACAAGCCTAAAAGTTACCCCCTCTAGAGTTCTGCTCTTCGGACCACAGCCATTCCTCTTAGTTCTGGGCTTTCCTTAAGAGCCTCTCTTCTCCCTTTGGGCACATCTTAGGGAGAAAGCAACCCCTCAAAGGCCCTGGCATTCCTGCCTCTGGGGGAGGGAAGGGGGAAGAGGGTGGATCAGGGGTAGGGTGGAGGTAGGGGGGACAGTCAAAAGGAAAGAGCTGGGTAGGGGCAAGGACTAGGGGGCCCATGAGGAGAGGGTGAGGGGAGACTAGCAGGCAGTGGCGGCGGTGTGATTAGAACGGAGATTGATGTGAAGGGGCGCCACAGACGGCAGAGAGAGTCAATAAAACGAGAGGATCACATTAGAGGCGACAGAGAGAGCTTTAAATTACAAGGCTGCTGCCACCGAGGGGGATGGGAGGAGGCAGGCCTGGAGCCAAGGGAGGGTGGAGAGTTCTGAGGGTTTAGTCATCTCCCAAGATGAATCTTCCAACTCCTAACCTGAAAGGCCCTCCACTCCAGACCACCCTTGCTGTCCCCTCATTCCATCTCCCTCCCTATGCTTCCTACCCTCACAGCATGACAAGAGGAGAAAGCTATGGAGAAGTAGGAGAGATTTTTTTTTTTTGGTCTTGGTATTGCCCTCCTCCACCTTCCAGATGGGAAAGGAAGTATGGAAGGGCTACTTTCAAAGCTCAGCTAGGAGGGTTGTCGCCTAATTATTGAACTGCAAATGTTCTTTGGGAAGTGGACAGAAAGGCACCCCACAAATAGCTGGTTGAAAATCCCTATTTCTTGATATGCACTTCCTGTTCAGAGGGCAGACACACAGTACTTAGAAGTGGGAGAAGCCAGGGAGTCAGGAGGCTCCCAGGTGGACAGCAGGACCCAGAAAGCTACAGAGATAGAGATGTTAGGAGATAGAGAGACTCAGTGTGAAGTTGTGGGTAGCTGAAAGGTGGGCTCCGAAACCACCCAAGCCAGGAAGATTACAGGGAGACTTCAGAACCAGAGAATTACAGAAGCCAAAGGGGCAAGGGCAAAGGAAGGATGAAAAACTGAAGTCTGAGGAAAGAGACTCTGCCCCTTACCGAGGAGCCGGGCATGGGTGCAGGATGGCTGGCATAACTGGAGGCAAAGCCAGGGAGGGGCTCGCCCTCTGGAACCCCCGTAAGACCAGGACTCCCCTTGGGTAGAGTCCCCCTCACCTCCCACCAACCAGGAGAGGAAAAGAAACACTACTGCTCCCTAGTGGTTACAGAGGGAACATCACCTAGGAGAGGACTGGCCTGAAGGGGACAGACAGGCTTTCTCCTCTGGGCTCCCCTCCTTAAAACAAAAAAAACAAAAACCCCTCTCCTTTTTTTAAAACTTGACAAGGCAAAGGCTTCCTCAGCAAAGTCTGCCAGAGGACACCAACACGTTAGCTTAAAATTTGCATACAGTGATCTCTCTCTCCCATTTGGGGGGGAGGGGGAGACAACCAAATTTTTGGTGGCCTTGTTTTGACAAGGCAAAAAAAAAAAAAAAAAAAATTGCATACAATGATTTCCACATTAGAGCCTTCCAGATATTTTTTTGCTTCACTTATCCAGTAGTTCAGACTATCCTCTTTCCCTAATTCAGAGTCAAATTTTAGGGCCTTTTTCCTCTGAAATCCTCGCCTGAGGCACTCTCTTTCACACTCACTTCCCCTTCCCTCTCTCCCCTTTTTGACTCAACCTGTTCCTTTCAATAGGCTGCCGCCATGGAGAGGAGGGAAGGGA